AGCAATCCACCCACCTAAGCCAAAGTGCTGGGATTACAGGTGTGAGCCACCACACTCGGCCAATAACTATGTTTTAACTATAGTTAAAACAGGTGCCTGGCGCCATGCCTGGAACACTGATGGTCATTCTGTTGAGCACTGTCTCATTTCTCCAGAGAAATAAATGAAAATCCTACCTTTGTGGAGACAAGTTCTTGCCTTCCCTGTGGTGGCCACTAGAGGGCGTGCTCGACTAGCTGGCTCTGGCTGGGGAAACCTGGTTCACTGGTCAGGATCAGTGTAGACCAGGGAGCTGGCACTCTTTCATCTCCCTGACCCCAACCAGCACCCATAGAGCCATGAGAGGGAGTTGGAGACACTGGAGCCCTTCTTCCCTGTTCCCTGAACCACAGTCTCTTTGGCAATATCCCAGAAGTCCCACCAGGACCATCAACAGAGCATACCCAGTCTCCCTTCCCCTCCCAGAGGCCCCAGCATGTCCCCAGAGACATCCCATGAGCAGCTGCTCCTGGCCCTGCCCCAGAGCTGAGACAGGCACACCCTGGCAGCAAGTCATGGTCTCTCCTGCTGGGTCTCAGCCATGAAAATGCCCCAGCTAGCCAGGCATGGCTCAGGCACACAGCAAAGTCATGAGTGCTGGCTGACCCAAGCCATGCATGGATGGAGGGCCCCAGGATTGACTCCTGTAGAGATGGCACCCAACCCAGTCACAGCCACCCTCTTCTGCTTTCCGTTCCGCAAAGACATCATTCGCTAAGCCATTTATCCTTCCAGAACTGAGCCTAATCTGATTCCTGCCTCTACGTATTCATAGTAAAAAATTATGGAAACAAATAACTCTAACACAGAATGGCAAGGCCTAAGAGCTGTGCCAAATGCACAGAGGTCAGGGAAATTTTTACAGACAAGGGGGCACTTGAGTTGAGTCTTGAAGTGTGAGTAGGAGTTCACGGAGCTGAGAAGAACGGAAGAGCATTACATATCAGGGGAGCAACCCATGGAAAGTCGTAGAGATATTACTGAAGGGTGGTTCTGTATGGCATGTTTATCCACAATTACCTAGGAGGACACTGAAGCTCAAGGCCTGCCTTGTCCAAGGTCACACAGCTATAAACGGCTTGAGACTGGAATCTAGATCTTTTGATTTTGGATCCTGAGCCCTTTCCCACTATCAGCTCTACAGTAGAGGTCAGTTTCTGAGACATAGAGTCTTACCTACTAGGGTAGTGGTCCCTGTTGGGGTTGAAGGGAAGTCCAAGGGATGGAGCCTGCATAGAAGAGACTTTTTTTTTTTTTTGAGATGGAGTCTTGCTCTGTTGCCCAGGCTGGAGTGCAGTGGGACGATCTTGGCTCACCACAACTTCCGCCTCCCTGGTTCAAGTGATTTCCAGCTAATTTTCCTATTTAGAGACAGGGTTTCGCCATGTTGGCCAGGCTGGTCTTGAACTCCTGACCTCAAGTGATCCACACGCCTTGGCTTCCCAAAGTGCTAGGATTGCAGGCATGAGCCACTGTGCCTGGCCGCATGGAAGAGACTTTGGCTACAGCAGATTCCATGGTCTTGAGCCCCCCAGCAGAGAGCCATCTGGGGGGCAGCAGAGCAGGGCTGGGGGAATGGGTGGAGGTGCCAAACACAGAATGCTATGGCCCTCTCACCTAGGATCACCATGGCAACAGGAGCATCACAAAGGGCCTGCCATGATGCCCTTCCAGGCTCTGCCTCAGCCAGGCAGGAAGAAGACCCAGCTTGGCTGGGGGCAGTGGGCAGGGGGCCCTGGGGTGAGTCAGCCAGGCCTGAATGCTGCCTCCAGGCTCTATGCAGAACACCTGCCAGCCCACACCCATCTCTTGGGCCAATCACAGAACAAACAAGGCAGAGGCCAAGAAAGAAAAGAAGGGGGCTTGGCACAATTGGAGGGATATTGCCAGTCCAGGGCCCGGAAGCCAGACAGACGACAGCACCTCCGCCCTGAGCTCAGGCAGCCCTGATCCCTGAAGGGTGGAGCAGACCCAACATTCAAAGAAATGGACACATAAGCCCTGGGCATCACAGAAAGACAACAGGAGCCAGGGAAGGCAGGAGAGGCTGGGATACCCCTAGGTCCAACTTCATCAAACCCGCTCTTGCCCATGACAACGGAATAGCATGGAATAGACCAGAGTCAGCCCAGCTAGAGACACAAGGCAAGAGGATTCACTGGGCTGCCCGGTCCCGCATGGACTCTGCCAGGCTGAAGCCAGCCAGGTGAGGCACTGACCCTATCCACCCTCCACCCACCCCCACCCCACCAGCTCAGAACTGAGGCTCATGGCAGGTGAGTATCGGAAAGATCAGTCTTCTCCTAGACAACTCTGTGGGACTTGGCTGCTGTCAAAGGGTCACACCCTGTCAGTATCTTCAGGGTCTTCATCTCAAATGGGCATGTTGAGTTTGGTGTGCTGTGAAAGAATCTGAACAGTTTCTCATCCAGCTGCTCCTTTTTTTTTTTTTTGAGTCAGAGTTTCGCTCTTGTTACCCAGGCTGGAGTGCAATGGTGAGATCTCGGCTCATGCAACCTCCGCCTCCCAGGTTCAAGCAATTCTCCTGCCTCAGCCTCCTGAGTAGCTGGGATTACAGGCGTGTGCCACCACTCCTGATAATTTTATAATTTTAGTAGAGACAGGGTTTCTCCATGTTGGTCAGGCTGGTCTTGAACTCCCGACCTCAGGTGATCCACCCACCTTGGCCTTTCAGAGTGCTGGGATTACAGACGTGAGCCACCACCCTGGTCTCATTTTTTTTTTTTTTAAGACTCAGTCTCACTCTTGCCCGCCAAGCTGGAGTGCGATGGCGCAATCTCAGCTCACTGCAACCTCTGCCTCCCGGGTTCAAGTGATTCTCCTGCCTCAACCTCCCAAGTTAGCTGGGATTACAGGTGCCTGCCACCATGTCCAGCTAATTTTTGTATTTTTAGTAGAGATGGGGTTTCACCATGTTGGCCAGGATGGTCTTGATCGAACTCCTGACCTCAG